CGGCCGCCATGTTGTATGGTTTTGTTCGTCTGCACGCAGTCATTGTTGTTCTCATTGTGATATCGAGTTGCTTAAGAAAATTGCAACGATGGATTTTTCCCATTTTTTTATTGTTTCGCGCGTGTGATTTTTCTAACAGACCACCATACGGGCGTGAACAAGGGGCGTGATAATTATATACTATTTTATATAAAATATGCGTGCGACGCGCGCATATCGTATAAGTATATATATAGTATTGAAAGGTGTTCGAATAAAGATTACGTGTGTGAAATCGCATTGGTAATCATAGATAAAGTCAAACAGTGTCTGTGCTATTTATCTGAGCCCTGCTTCGACTTTCAGAACATGCACGCACGCACGCACGCACGCACGCTCATCACAATAAGGTAGCACGCACTACTTTTAGAACACGCGAGTATGCATCTAGACAAGCATGCACACACGTATGCATCTATACACGCACGCGCCTATATGCATTCAGTTTGCATCTTTGTATTGATTTCATACCTGGCGCAATATTTGATTGAGTTCTTTCATCAATGTCCTGAATGAATAGATATGCGTAAACTGGATTTTCTAATCACCAAATGTATACATGCGTATCCTATTAGAAAGTGATGTAGAGTTAAACAATACAAGTCGTTTTGTGAATACATGTCTGTATACATGTCATCAGGAGTAAGATAATATAGGATGTCATTATGGCATTTTTCTCATGCGCCGACGAGCATATATATATACATATAATATATACAGGGGCGGCGCCACGGTTTTCAAAGTGGGGGGGGGGCCCAATTGAGAGAATGAAGCGGGCTTGCAAGCCGGGGGCTGAGTTATTGGGGCGCGAAGCGCCCGAGCGGGGGTGGGTGTCCGAGCGGGACCGAGCCAGGTGACCGAGCGAGGGTGGGTGTAAGAGGGGGGTCCCCCCTCCCACGGCAGGGAGCTTTTTCAATTTTTGCACTGAAATGGAACGATCTGGGGCACATCGAACGTGAAAATTTCAAATTTTTAAATGGAAGAAAAACGGAAATAACACCTTTTCAGTACATGTCTATGTACATGTCAACTATAGTGAAGTATATAATTTGCATCAATATGAATACAATAGGAATAAAGGAAGTAAAGGATGTATTCTCGTAAGGTGAACTTTGAACACCTGTTTGGCGCCCTGTAATTCACCTATGCTTAGGGTTTGAAATAATATTTATGTGTGTGTGTGTGTAATTTTTGTACGTGCGTGCCGTCGCGTGCGTGCCGTGCCGTGCGTGCGCACGTGGTGTGTGTCGTGTGTCAGCGCGAATTGCCATGCATTACGTAATAGTAAACTACAGGGCCCGAACGTTACAATAATTCCGATCAGAAACTTCGATGCCAACGCAATTTCGTAAATTATGGGCCACGTGCTTGCATAGTATCACGACAAAGATAAAATTGGCCCTGGTCGCTGCGTGAGAAATTTTAGGAAGAGATGAGTTTTTTCACCCTATATGCTCCCTCTTTAACTCATACTGACCAAACATGACAATGTAGCGTTGGAGGCACAGCCAGTCAGCCGTCTCGTGCCATCCGCCGCGCGTACCCGTTTGTCCTGTCCGTTATTGTCCGGCCGCCGGGCTCCCGCTCGTGCGGTCCGTTTGTCGCAGTCGCGTTCCGCTGCCGTCCACTCCCGGTTCCGTCCGATCCGTCCGTCCGTCCGTGCGTCCATCACACCTGTTCGTTCCCCCCGTCCGTCCTGTCCCTCCAAACATCCGTTCGTACCATCCGCTGTCCGTCGTTTGTTCACCGATCCGTCTGTCCCATTTCCATTCAATCCGTCCGTCTGTCCATCCGTACTGTCCCATCCATCCGTCATCCGTCCTGTCCGCACCAATCCCGTCGCCCCCGTCGTCTCCGCTCGTGCATCGTGTCTTCCGTCGTTGCTCGTATGACCGTCTGTCGCGTTCGTCCGTCCGTGGCGTCTGTCCTTACCATTCGTTCGTGCCGTCCGTTTGTTTCGTGCGTCCGTCCGTCCGTCCTGTCCGTTATCGTCTTCGTTCTGTACTGGCCATTCGCTCCGTCCGTCGTCGCTGCATCGCTCGAGTCCGCCAGGCGTCGCCCTGACTTCCGTTCGTCCTTGTCCGCGTCCGCGTCCCCCGTTCGTCCGTGCCATCCCGCGTAATACGGTCCGTCGTCCGTTCGTTTAATCGTCCCGTCTGTCCTCCATTCTCGTCCGTGTCCGTTAGCCCGCATTCATGACCCGTGGCACTGCCGTATGCCGTCTGTCCTGTCGAGGTGTCGAAGAACATGGGCGGAGCGTGCGGTAGGGAGGGGCACGACCGTCTTGCCTCCATCCGTCGTCCGTGCCTGTTCTCTCGTTCGTCCTTTTCCGTCGTGTCCGTCTGTCCGTTCGTGTTCGTACGCGGTCGTCAGTCTGCTCCCGACGTAACATTTCGTTCGTTCGTGAGTGTTCGTTTTCTATCCGTCCGTTTCGTTCATGCCCGTCGTTCGTTCGTTTACGTCCGTCCCTATTCGTCTTGCTCCGTGCGTTCGTGGTCGTGCCTGTCTGTACCTTCTCCGTCGTTTCGTTCGTATCGTCCGCTCTGTGTCTCTGTTACGCTTCGTCCACCCGTCCCGTCGTTCGATTCGTTCGTCCCCGCTCTAGACTATTCGGAATCCAAATCCGATACCCAAACGCCGCTCACGTTGTTGATCTGTGTGACTATTCGGTGCATAATAAATGATTCATTACATTATGTTTTGAAACAATGTGTCCTTGGCAGCTCGGTAATATATGCATTCACCAATTCAGTGTGCCCCTCGCGGTCGTTGTGTGTTGCGTCCCTGCGTAGCCGTATGTGGTGCGCGTGCGGGCGCGCGTTCGTTTCGTCCGCGCGTTGCCGTGCGTGGTCGTGCGGTGCGGTGTGAAGCGTGCGTGCGTGCGTGCGTCCAGCGTGTGTGCGTGCGGGCCGCCGCGGCGTCTCGCTTCGTTACCGTGCGTATGTGTGTCGCGTGCGTTCCGTGCGTGCCGTGTGCACGTGTGTCCGCGCTGTGTGTGTTTGTGTGCGCGGCGCAGTAGTGTGTGTGTGTGGTCGTGTGATTGTAGGGCAACAGCTAACACGAAGCGTGGCCGGAGCGGCTTCCACGCCGACAGCTCGGTACGTCAACGTGCTCGTGGGAGGACCTGTGTGTCCATCGTCACATCCATGCCTCGTCGTTGTGACTCTTCTCCTTGATTTACTCGCGCGGTCCTGGTAGGTGTAGGTGTTTGTGTGTGTGTGTGTCGTGTGTGTGTGTGTGTGTGTGCTGTGAACTTGCGCGTGCGTGCGTATGTGTGTGCTGTGTGTGTGTGTGTCTGTGTGGTCGTGTGTGTGTGGTGTGTGTGTGCTGTGTGTGTCTGTGAACGCGGAGTAGCGTGCGTATGTGTGGTCGTAGTGTGGCGTGGTGGCGTGGCCCGCGCCGTGCGGTGTGTGCTGGTTGCTGTGTGTGTGTGTGTGTGTGTTGTTGTGTGTGTGTGTGTGGTACTGTGCAACTCGTGCCGGGCGTATGTGTGTGGTGTGTCGTGTGCGGTGCGTGCCGTGCGTGCGCTGTGTGCGTATGCTGCGCTGGCGGAAGCGTTGCGTGTGTGTGCAGACGTGTGTGTGCGTGTGTGTGTGTGTGTGCCTGTGAACGGCGTTTGCGTGCGTGTGTGTTGGTGTGTGTCGTGTGTGTGTGTGTGTGTGTGTGTGTGTGTGTGTGTGTGTCTGTGAACTCGCCGTGCGCTGTGTGTTCAGCAGAATGTCATTCACACGT